TCTAATTAACTATTTCAGTTCTTTGCTTGGCTTTGAAGCAAACAGTACGACGATGTTTGTTGTAGTTCCTTAGTTGTAGTAGCCTCATAAGCAGCAGGAGGGGTTTCAGGGGAAAGATCTTCCCTTTCAGAATTGTGTCCAGTGGACTATTCAGCTTTCTGCCAATGTGCAGTGACAATGTGGGGTGACACCTGTGGTCTCTTGAACAGCTGAGTTTATGGCAAACCTGAATTCTGGAAGGTATTGATCCCATTTCCCGTGATTGTCATCCACATAAGAGGCTATCGTACTTTTGAAAGTGCGATTTACCCTCTCAGTCATATTGGTCTGTGGATGATAGGCAGTGGTGAGCTTGTGTTTCACAATCCATTGTTAATTGAAAACAGAACTGATGTATTCTTATTATGGTCACTTTTCCCTGTGACTAACAATATATGTACTGTCTGTGTATTTAATGTGTATTCTGCATAAATGGGTCAATATTTTTATGTTGTGATCTTTAATTTAATATTTAGTGGGTTTTATTTGTCATGGTTCTCAGCAGGAAACCGATGGACTGTCCACTCCAAGTAGGGAATGAGTCCCAAGTGAAGGAGTTCAAGTATCTCGGGGTCTTGTTCTCGAGTGAGGGAACAATGGAGCGTGAGATGGGCCGGAGAATCGGAGCGGTACTGCAGTCGCTTTACCGCACCGTTGTGACGAAAAGAGAGCTGAACCAGAAGGTAAAGCTCTCTGTCTACCGGGCCATTTTCGTTCCTACCCTCACCTATGGTCATGAAGGATGGGTCATGACCGAAAGAACGAGATCGCGGATACAACAAGTGGCCGAGATGGGTTTTCTCCGCAGGGTGGCTGGCGTCTCCCTTAGGGATAAGGTGAGAAGTTCAGTCATCCGGGAGGGACTCGGAGTTGAACCGCTCCTCCTCCGCGTCGAAAGGAGCCAGTTGAGGTGGTTCGGTCACCTAGTTAGGATGGGAGGAGACCGAGGGGTAGACCTAGGACCAGGTGGAGGGATTATATCTCTTCGCTGGCCTGGGAGCACCTTGGGATCCCCCAGTCAGAGCTGGCTGATGTGGCCGGGGAAAGGAACGTTTGGGACTCTCTGCTACCCCCGCGACCCGACCACAGATAAGCGGGATTCATTTTATGTCATGCGTTTCATGGATTCTAGTTCATTTTTTTCAATATGTTTTATGTCACATCTTAGGTTAAATAGATTATGGAATTCTATCCCTTTTTTATTTTCAATTCATGGCTATTTTCGTTATTGTAAAGCCCGTTCTGCCGCATTTCCAGCATGAAAGGAGCATTACAAATGAAGTTATTGTATTATCATTCTAACATCCAGGCTACTGCTGGTGCCAATACATCTGCTTCTCATGTTAATTTAGCACTTTCAAAGTAAAGTTTTCGAGGATGTGGTTCTATAGTGGTCCAGTTAGTCATGCATTGGATAAGAGTCAGATAAAAAGACTTCCTGAATGGAGCATTAAAAACACCATAAGTGCTTCTGAGAAGTGCTGAATGGCTTTCATTTTCTCTTTCATGCATTGAGAAGCCATTTGTGGTTTATTTACATGGAGGAAGTAGCTCCATACATCCCAAACTTACTGTCTGAACACATGAAGTACTAACAATATTGTATATTATGCTTTTTTCCATGTATATATGTTTACTTATTTCTGCTTGCACACTGTGTCACTTGCATTTTTCACTATTGTATTTCAAGTTAAGTTTCGTCTTGCACTTTTGTTATTGTTTCATTTCTCCATGTTGCATTGATGGAGGAGCCTTTAGACTTGTATTGTCCAAAAAAAGGCAGTACATTAGACAATAAAGCCTTTGAATCTTGAAGGTACTAAATACCACAACTCCCAAATGTATTCATCCCACTGTACAGTCTTTCATTTTACATGTTAACGTCTATCTTTTTCTATTTTACATGAATATAAACTCCAGCAACATTCTGTGTAACATGTACCTTATTGTATTTTATTTGACATGTATATATAGTTAACTTCTCCTGCATTATTTGCACATTGGTCTTGCAACGTAAGCTGGCACTATGGCACTAGTATTGTTTTATGTCTCGTATTTATTGATGTTGCATTGTTGGAGGAGCCTGGGACTTAACCTTTTCGTTGCCATAACTACACTGTAGCTACTGTGCATATACATACAGTAAAACCTTTGAATCTAACATCCTAAAGTTACTGAATCTCTTGCATGATATGCTGCAAAACAAAAGACAATGACACAACCCAACTCACCGTTCATTGTGACAGCCAGTCACCGGCAGCAGTAGCATCCAAGCTAAAACCCTTCCTCCACAATTTGACAGCTTTTATCCAGAGGCTAGCGATACAGCGGGCCCATGCCGCCTCTGTGGCCGAGCGGCAAGCACACTAGGGCGGCGTGAGGACTGATGATCCCCCGGTGAACAGAGAGGCCTGCTGGGAGTCTACCACAAGCTGACATGAAAGAGTTGTACAAAGCCCGGGAAGCAGACAAAATGTAAAATACAAAAGCCGGAGTTTAGTTTATAAGCCATTAAACAACCTGTCAAAAACAGGAGGTGTTTTTTAAAAGAGAAACTAGCTGTTTTTAGTTAGCAGCCTGTGGCACTGCGAAAAAAGGGAAACGCGCTGACAGAGCCGAGTGAAGGTCACATGACACAACATACAGCCGTCATATGACCGGAAATGCATGATGGGAGTTGTAGTTTGTTGGTAAAAGTGTTGTGAAACTACAAAATAACATTTTAAATGCAGAATCTTTATAACAAGACATTTGATCCTCAATGTGTCTGTGTATTTCCGGTGGTTAAAGAAATATTAATACATTTTAGGCGCATTTTCATTCGAAAAAATGACTTTATTTCTATATTGTAGTCAAGAAAAGAAAACTGTATGTCCGAATATGGATGCAGCTAATTATGCATTTAATGGAAATTAAATAAGTATTGCAATAAACTGATAGGATTTCATTTAAGAATATTGCATTATTTTTACTAACTTTTGACAAAGCAATCAAAGCCAGTGTGAGTGAGTGTGAATATTGTCCCCAAAAAAATTATAACATGCAACAAAACATATTCTTAGCATGACAATCAGTTACCATTTATTGTAGAAACACAATGCAAAAATCACAATTGTTATTTAAATCATTTTTCAATAAAATGAAATCACACAAACACACTCCTGACCTCTTGTGGTAAAAGTAAGTATTATACATTCATGGTGTGTGTGTGTGTGTGTGTGTGTGTGTGTGTGTGTGTGTGTGTGTGTGTGTGTGTGTGTGTGTGTGTGTGTGTGTGTGTGTGTGTGTGTGTGTGTGTGTGTGTGTGTGTGTGTGTGTGTGTGTGTGTGTGTGTGTGTGTGTGTGTGTGTGTGTGTGTGTGTGTGTGTGTGTGTGTGTGTGTGTGTGTGTGTGTGTGAGAGAGAGACCTTTGGCTCAGGATCACGCCCAGGGCAAATTCCCATACCCTTTTTATCAGGTTCAATTTCAATTTGTTCAAAAAACGATTGACATTTCCATCAACCTCAACTATTTTGCTATTGTGTAAACACACACTCATCAAGCTCAGAAAGAGTCCTGCAAATCAAATGAAACCCTGCAGAACAAAGTAGTTTATGTTATAGAACAGACATGATGCTCTTTCCTTTACAACTCGATCAGATAACTCTAATTATCACTCGACCAGATGACCTGAGAATCATCCGTTAAATCTGCACTCTGATCACTTTGGTCATATCTAATCTAAAGTGTACTGTGTGTGTGTGTGTGTGTGTGTGTGTGTGTGTGTGTGTGTGTGTGTGTGTGTGTGTGTGTGTGTGTGTGTGTGTGTGTGTGTGTGTGTGTGTGTGTGTGTGTGTGTGTGTGTGTGTGTGTGTGTGTGTGTGTGTGTGTGTGTGTGTGTGTGTGTGAGAGTGTGTGAGTGTGTGAGAGAGAGACCTTGTGGGTGAAGTCTAAGATGTTAGATTTAAAATGTGAAAACACTTTTCCAGTGACATCTTTGCACAGACACACAACAATAAGTATAGTCAAGTCAAGACATTCTGAAAGACTGTTTTAAAGACTGTCGGAGCCATGAAACGTATAAAGTAATGCGTTTGTTTTAATATAAGGTATTTGTTTAATCACTATTGATTGGTTGGCTTGGGTCACATGGATATGGGCGGCACTCATTATAATCCTGTTCACCTGCGTGGTGTGTGCGTGTGCGTGTGTGTGTGTGTGTGTGTGTGTGTGTGTGTGTGTGTGTGTGTGTGTGTGTGTGTGTGTGTGTGTGTGTGTGTGTGTGTGTGTGTGTGTGTGTGTGTGTGTGTGTGTGTGTGTGTGTGTGTGTGTGTGGTGCAATTTTATTAGAGGATCACAAACAGATTAAGATATATTTAGATAACTCCAGATTACTTTACTTGCATGCTAACAATTGGACACTTAACCCTGAAAGAAGTTTGGGCACTTTTTATCTGATAGCTATTTTCATACTATGCTTTAGTCAGCTCTGTCTTTGTTCATGCCATGAATGTTTTACACATTTAAAGCACAAACTACATGTGTTATCTATGCACTGTAGCTGTTGTAAACCTTTGAAGGCAATTGAAAACACTGCATGTGATTTCAACTGTGGAGGCATGTGGCGCAGTGGGTTGTGTGTTGGTGTTCAGATCAGGGGGACAGGTTCAAACCCCACTGCAGTCAGCATGTCGTTGTGTCCCTGGGCAAGACACTTCACCCCAAATCATGTGGGGATTGCCCACAGTACTGAGTATGCATATATATGTGTGTATATATGTCAATCAACAGGTAAAGCAGATTAATAATACTAATAATATCAATAATAATGCAGACAAATTATAATTATTGCAGATTATAAATAAATAATTTAGGGAAATTAATAAATGTATCAATCAATCAACAAGTGACGTAATGTAACCACACAAATACATCGGTAAAGCAATGGCAAAAGCAGAACATTAATGACAAAATCACTGCAATATAGATAACTGTATTTATAAAGCAGGTGAGATTATAAAGGATGAATACCATTATGCATAAAATAAATAAGTAAAAACTGTGTTATTGTTGCTGTGTTGGTTAAATGCACACTGCTGCAAAAAGGCAGCTTCAAATATTCCGGTAACATTTTATCCAAAAGAAAAGCTTCACCATAACAAATCTCTTAATATAACTTTTATTTTCTATTTATAGTCACCAAGATTCAAGAATCAACTAAAATATTGACAGATATGACTGATGTTGTTGTAGTGTGCAAAGTGTACATCTTATCAGCTTGAAACGGATGTTATCTAGACAAGACATCAGTGTTGTCTAATCATTACAGGAGCGTGTATGCAGAGCAAACACACACACACAAAATCTCTTTCACGTGCAAAAAGGAAGCAAATAAGTCCAAGTTCAGAGTCATTTAGGTTCATATTGATAATGTGTCCCTCTCAAGGTATTTAGACGGAGATGTGGACGGAGAAGACATGTTGCTTTCAAAGACGGTGGACAGCGACACCTCAGTGTTTGAAGGTCTGTTCCTCCTGAAAGAGTTTCTGACCGTGGAGGAGAATCTGTCCGACATCTGCCTCACGGCCCGACCCAGCCCCCGGTTCCTCAGCTTGATCAAACCCACGTCGTCCTCCAGCTCCTCGGGGGGCACTTCTATATTCCCAGAGTACCAGAACACCCACCAGATGAGGCTGAGGAAGATGATGATGCCCCCGCCGTAGATGAACAGATCGTGGACGACCAGCCCTCCGAACACCCCCACCAGCATGAGGAAAGTTCCCAGAATATCATGAGCCACAGCGAACCAGAAGGAGCATTTACAGCGGCCCACTCCCTCATAAGTCCTCTCCATGACCGGCTCCAGCTGCACAGGTGTAGACATGTGGAGATCCTCCAGAAACCAGATCCAGTTCCCAGAGTGTAATCCAGATGTGTGTGTGTGTGTGTGTGTGTGTGTGTGTGTGTGTATGTGTGTGCGCGCTACAGGACAGTGGTGTGTTTTCCTCTCATGAAACAGCCGGCTGTGGTCAAAGTTCAATGTTCGGCAGGGGTTATCAGCAGAGGAGTTCACACAGGGAGGGGGGAGGGGCACAGGGAGGCTTTAAAGAGAGTCAGATGAACAAAATGTAAATACACATTATTTGTTTTACTCTAAAATGGATTAACTGTTTCGAAATGGAAGTATTTTGACATCCAATTACAAGACTGGAGATGTGTGTGTGTGTGTGTGTGTGTGTGTGTGTGTGTGTGTGTGTGTGTGTGTGTGTGTGTGTGTGTGTGTGTGTGTGTGTGTGTGTGTGTGTGTGTGTGTGTGTGTGTGTGTGTGTGTGTGTGTGTGTGTGTGTGTGTGTGTGTGTGTGTGTGTGTGTGTGTTGTAACTCCATTACATGACTCATTATCAGAAAGAGCCACATCAGATATTTCACTATAATAAAAACGAAGCAGTTGCATCATTAAGACGGCAGCCAATCTGGATCCGTTCCGTTGTACCTCCGTTTTTAGAGATGTGTGTACGGAGGAAAAGAGAGAGGGTTTTGTTTTCTGACGCTTTGTGAATTCCCTGACACACCGGGGACACAGAGTTATGTATAAAATACATCAAAAAGGGACTTTTACAAGATAGGAGACCTTTAAAGGTTCCCTAATATACTGTTTTTCATTACTTTATTATAGGTCTCAGATATATATATTCCCTCAGGGAACTTATTCCGGTGTGAACGCGATCTGTACTTAGTTCATGAGAACTGAAGAGTACTTGGTGTGAAAGCGCCTAATGGTGCTCTAGGAGGAGATTCAGGTGATAAGGTGGGGGGGGGGGGGTTACCTTGGTTGGTGATTGGCTAATGGTTACTCAAGACAAACAAACATTATGACATCATAAAGTGGATAGGTTTTTATATAAATGGATCAGGACAAAAAGAGAGAGAATCTTTTTTCCCGAAACTTTCAGAATCTCTTTCCACAGAGGGGACACATGTTGATGTAGAAGAGACATGAAGAAGAGGGGACACATGTTGATGTAGAAGAGACATGAAGAAGAGGGGACACATGTTGATGTAGAAGAGACATGAAGAAGAGGGGACACGTGTTGATGTAGAAGAGACATGAAGAAGAGGGGACACGTGTTGATGTAGAAGAGACATGAAGAAGAGGGGACACGTGTTGATGTAGAAGAGACATGAAGAAGAGGGGACACGTGTTGATGTAGAAGAGACATGAAGAAGAGGGGACACATGTTGATGAAGAAGAGACATGGAGAAGAGGGGACACGTGTTGATGTAGAAGAGACATGAAGAAGAGGGGACACGTGTTGATGTAGAAGAGACATGAAGAAGAGGGGACACGTGTTGATGTAGAAGAGACATGAAGAAGAGGGGACACGTGTTGATGTAGAAGAGACATGAAGAAGAGGGGACACATGTTGATGAAGAAGAGACATGGAGAAGAGGGGACACGTGTTGATGTAGAAGAGACATGAAGAAGAGGGGACACGTGTTGATGTAGAAGAGACATGAAGAAGAGGGGACACATGTTGATGTAGAAGAGACATGGAGAAGACGGGACACGTGTTGATGTAGAAGAGACATGAAGAAGAGGGGACACATGTTGATGTAGAAGAGACATGAAGAAGAGGGGACACATGTTGATGTAGAAGAGACATGGAGAAGAGGGGACACGTGTTGATGTAGAAGAGACGTGAAGAAGAGGGGACACATGTTGATGTAGAAGAGACATGAAGAAGAGGGGACACATGTTGATGTAGAAGAAACATGGAGAAGAGGGGACACATGTTGATGTAGAAGAGACATGAAGAAGAGGGGACACATGTTGATGTAGAAGAGACATGAGGAAGAGGGGACACATGTTGATGTAGAAGAGACATGAAGAAGAGGGGACACATGTTGATGTAGAAGAGACATGAAGAAGAGGGGACACGTGTTGATGTGGAAGAGACATGAAGAAGAGGGGACACATGTTGATGTAGAAGAGACATGAAGAAGAGGGGACACGTGTTGATGTAGGAGAGACATGAAGAAGAGGATTTTGCATGATAGGAGACCTTTAAATCCTCATCAGAGTCCCTTGTTTCCACGCCGCCTGGCAGTACCCCTTCCTCCTCTGCTTCTCCTTCAGTACGGGGATCCACACCAGGCCCATCAGCCCCAGCAGCAGCCCTAAAGAGAGGCAGGCGGAGGCCACGGGGCGGGGGGGCCCTCCGTCACCCCCAGACAGAGCAGCAGGAAGAGGAGCCCCCCCACTGCACACATCAGAAACCCCATCACCAGCACGATGATAGCTTTATGCAGATGGGCCCAGCCTGAGGCCCCTGAAGGGTCTGGAAACAGCCTCTGACTCCCGGAGGCTTCTGGAAACGAGTCTTCTTCAAACTCCTCCATGGCTGTCTTCAAACGAGGGTTTTAACTGTTTGTGAGTGCAATCTGAGAGCCGGCTTCAACACAAGAGCACAACTTATGCTCAGCCATAAAGGTGCTAACTGAAGTATGTTAGCTTCAGATAGGGAATTTAAAATGCTAAATAAATATATTTTCTTCTTTATATTAATTTCCAAGAAGCTGCTAGCGGTGAGAATGTAGTGTGCAGATATAACTATTGAATTAGATAAATAATGCCCTTTTTTCACAAATGCATGCGTAATGATAGCTCGGAAATACGTATGTTGATGTTGTCCAATATGAAGTCTGTAGTCCTGTGACAAGATCATCAAATGGTTGTGTGCCTGCATGCGTGTGTGTTAAACATGAATTACTAGCATGCATAAGTACATAATAGTAGATAACTACCTTACACCGTTTCGTTTTAGTAAGCAATATGTTTTTGGTTCAGTCCAAAACAACCATAAGGAGGCAAATTAAAGCACGTGCCGTCTATAGAGGTGGGTTTTCAGTCTGCAGAAATAACTATCAATTTAATGAATGCTTTCCTACCCCCAGATCTGTGATGCTGATCCCCTGAGTCAGTGCATCCTCTCTGCAGTCACACAGAGCAGCTGTATATCCTCTCTCTGTGATGAAGAGGGTCTGCAGGATGAGTCTCTCTGTGCTCAGGAACCGTGACTGTAATTCTAGTCGACCCACCGACACCCAGAGGGGGAAGAAGATAGTGTACTCTTAATTATAAGTAGCGATGCTTAACTGTGAACATACTGTGTTACACGCCTAAGTAGAATTACAGACATATTAGTATAAAAAAAAACTTCTTACAAAGTACAAACAAGTACAAAAGTCAAAGGACTCCTTAAACACTTATCTCGTGCCCTCATTGGTCATGTGCGCGTTCGTGTGTTGGAAGAGGGGCTCTGTGAGGAAGTGGCAGATTTTGTTCCGGCTGCATACTTTCAAATTCTAGCGCACTCGAGCTGGTTTCTCCATTCTTACCTACCCACGAACGCGCACATAACAATGAGGGCACGAGATACGTTTGTGCACGAGATGGAAGGCTGACAGGCAGGTAGGCCATCCAGTTACTTTAGCCGGGCCGGCTCAGATGATTGGTCGTGCTTGTTACAGCGCCACGGCTTCCACTGATGACAGTTTTATATTTATTGCTATCGGGATGTTAAGAGCATTCCATGGAATATAACAAAAAGCGTTTCTGAAGTGAATTACCTACCCCACCTTTAAGTTTTGAAAATAATCTAAACTCTACATGAATAATCACAGGACATCAGAAGGATTTCTAAAAGGCCTTTTTCATAGTTTAAAATAGCGACTGGATATAAATGCACGTGAAGCCCTCCCCCAGTAGTGACAATAATAAAAACACGAGTAAAACGTCACGATACGCAAGGGTCACAAATATTTTAATTCACATAATGCTTAACAACTTTTTGCTTGTCATCTGTAATATGGCATTAGGATATTACCGTTAGCTGCTTTTCACATACATTTAGATGAGTTAGAAAAGGTGTTGGATGTAAAAGCCAAGGTAAACAATCATTTGTTGATTTAGGGAACATACTCACCCAGCAACAACCCTAACAGAATAACCGATACTGAGCAAAACACTTTTTTATTTTCCACATGGAAGTTGCAAAAACGACTTCCAAAATTGTGAAATGCTTTCTTCATTATGTCAATGAAAGGCTGCATTCCCTTTAAGCTTCACTAGTTCCATGGAAGGGATTATTGATGCCCACAAGTACACAGAGCCATTGTTAGCATTAGCTCTGTCTTCCAGTGAAAAGCCTTTTGTTGGAGGGCTATATTTGAGAAACACAACAGAGCCAAGTTCATTTCAGATAATCAACTTTATGTTCTGCATCATCCAGGCATAACGAAACAGACTGAATATATATGAACCAGTGTGAGCCATCTGGTCCTGTGTTCTGAGTAAAATGTCCATGTTGAAGGTAACGTGTGAAGAGGAGAATCATTTCAATTTGGGCACTCTCCTCTTCCCTTTGGACTCGCCCTTGCCACCCTTCTTGTTCATTTTGTTTTGTGGTTTTCTTCCTTTCTTCCCACCAGCCGTCGTGGGCGCCTTCTCCAGCTGCTTCTTCTTGGGCGTCTTCTGCAAAAGAAACAAAGAAAATGAGTCGGATTACATATTTAAAATCAGTATTCAAATAGAGTGATGCTTTCTCACGAGCCGACCCGGAGGTTAGCATTGCTCCCTCTCCCGTGTTATTCTCCAAAGTTAATGTAAACTTGAATAATGTACTTCATTTGAATGTAATAATTATGTTGGTTGTTGTTTGTGGAAGCTCCAGTGAATGATGGCTAGGACGCACTGTACCCAGCTGGTCTGGCCCTGTCCCCCCTATTTCACAAATGAGGGCCGGCCCCTTGTCATGTCTGCCGATATCTGGTTTTAATCTGTGTCTATGTTGTTGTCAGTGATGTATTGTCTTGTCTTTTTTAAATGCCTTTGTGATGCGCTGCAACCCATTTTCCCCTCGGGGACAAATAAACGAATACTATACTATGAGCCCCATTAA